CGCGGCAGCCACTCGTTCAAGGTCCAAGCCACTCGTTCTCGTCCTTCGTGTCATCTCGCCCTTCGGCCAACTTCAAGGGGGTCTCGGGAGTCATCGGATGGCCGCGAGAGTTGGTGCAACCCATGATGCTCGAAGGCTAAGGCGCCAAGGCTAGGCTGCTATGGCCCGACTATTCGAACTGTTCGATTTTCTTTGAGTCAAGGCACCCTCTCTGAGCACAAGTAATTCTCTGCGGAGTGCATTCGGATTTTTCTGCACAAATCTGCTCAAATTGGCTGGACTGGTTAGTTTGCAAACTCTCCAGGGTTGGAAAAGACATGTCCGGAACATCCTGGCATGGTGGGTTCCCATGTGGAACTCGACTCAAGCAGCTCGACTCAAGTGGCACTAAAGCCTACAGAAAAGGCGCGACTGGCCCAGTGATGGCCCACCTAGTGGTGCTTAGCTCTTCTTTAAGTATCCCTGGTCCAAGACCAAAATATTGATCGATCCTGTCTATATATATAAAAAATAAAATACATATTAATGGGCCTTCTCTAGGGGGCTACTCAAGGGTTCATGAAGGTTTCCTTTGATTGAAAGTAGCAACATGATCCTTATACCACCCTTATCATCACAACATCCCTGACATCAAGTCACCTAATCCCTGTCCTGTTTCTCCCTGTCACCTCACAACGACCTCGGTCAGAAGGTTCGGCACGCGCGCTCAACGGGTCTAAAAAGAACGTTTACACTAGCAAGGAAAGATCTCAATACTTTCATGTTGCCTGGCTGACACGGCAGAACGACCACAAACTTACATCAATTCCTAAGACAGCACTGCTGTTATGAAATGTGTGACCATTGACGTTGCAGCATCTCATTAGGAATCTGCAAGGGCACAGTGGCAGGCTTGAGCTGCAACGTTTATCAACGTTTACAAACTGCATGGGGGGGTTCTCCTATGGTGGGTTTCAGAGCCTTTTGCTCAACTCTCAGGCCTTGCTCAGCAGGAATGGAAAGATTGAAAGACTAATTTCACAGCTAGGCTTCTGCAACTCTTCCCCCAGTTAACTTTACCCGTGATGGCAGCTATACACAGCGCCGCTGGCCGTGTTGTACGGTTCCGAGTCCGAGTCGACTGAGTGAAGAATCAAAAAGAACAAAACTCACAACCTGAAGGATGAAACCTGAATCCTTCTGATTTCTCTCAAGGGCCTTGTTATTTGGTATGGTCCACTCAAGTCAGCAGCATATCATATCGGTTAAGTTAGCCTTCTTGGGACACGGGAAGCAACAGAAAAGTGGCTGCATAAAGGAAATGCCAAGGATGACATGCCAGCAGAACGAATGATCACAGCACGGCTCAACAATCCGTCGCTGGAAGGTAGCACGGCTAAAGGAAGTTGGATTTTCATCCATTAGCAGGCGCACGATGCCGCCAATCTATTGCAACATCCTGCAACTGCAATGGGTTGCCTGCCAGGTGCAAGGTTTGAGGTGTCTGAGGCTTCAACTTGGCCATGGCGAACCTGATCCAGGGTCTCAGGCGACAAACCATCGCATGAGCAAACCCACTTACGTCGTAGAAAGGGAAATGGGCACTTTGCGCCGCAGGCGGAAAGCCATCATTCGGTGATCCACATGAAACACATGAATGTTGAGGATTTTACCATCTCCCCCCATCTCCTAGATCCTGGTCCAAGCAGCATCTTCTATAGTCACATCTTGTACGGCGTTGTGTCCAGCCCATCCGAACACCCAAGCGCTTCAACAACTCCGCGACCCATCCGCAAGAACGCAGCCAAGCGGCATAAGCGCACACCATTCGGCCTGATAAAATCCCAGCAGCTTGCTTGAGCCATCATCGAACGTGAGAAGGGGCACACGCTCATGGACTACAAAAAAAGAAACATATTGCGCTGACCTAATCCCAACAGTCAAACACCGGCAAAGCCCATTAGTGTGAGATGAAAAGTACCAGCATCAAGGGCACGAAGCAACTTGGCATCCTCAACAGATTATAGTCCAAGGTTGCAATCTGAAGAAAGAAAAAGGCTAAGAACGATTCACCTAGGACCTAAGACTTCCAAAAAAAACATTCAAGATGTCTGCCAACTCGTGCCAGGAAAGGCAATATGGTTGAGGATTTCGCCTCCTTAGCCACACAGGTCGAATGGTATGAAACCCCCGCAAGTCATCTGGAGGTTGCAATGCCGGAGGTGCCCACGTCGATGGGTAAATAATCTGCAATTGCGGTCGTTCCTAAACCCCCCGAGTGGCTGCGACCTGCCCGGATCGCGTGACCCAAAACGATCACGATGGCCGGGCTTTCTGTTGCACATAACCGGTGAACACGGTATGGTCAGAATCGGGTTCCTGAGCCCAGTGTGGCTGACAATGAAGTGCCTTTCGTCGGTGTGGCGGTCACATGGTCTGAGGTCGTGAGGTCTTTGGGCCGAGCCACCCTTCCACCATGCTCTGGCGAAAGGATCGTCTGCCTGTCGATGGGAGAGCCCGGAGAAGAAGAGAAGCGAGGCCGACTGAAGCAGCTGTGTGTTGCAGAGGGGCATGGGTATAATACTGAAAAACCATGAGAAAACTCATGAGCTATGCCAGCGATGCATGTTCTCCGTCTTCTCTCTCTTCTTGCTTCCCTTTCTCTCAGGTCCTGTGCCCACTCGAAGCCGAAAACACAAGGCCACTGCTTTCTACCAGGCCACTTGCGGTGAGGCATTCCAGTCACACATGGAACCCCCCCTGCTTCTGCTCTGGATCTTCCCCTGCTCGGCCTTCCCAGTAGCACCGGTGGCTGCTCTACAGACCTGGCGACCCAAGGAGTCCGACTGGTTTCCTTGGTGTGCACCGACATCCAAAACGTGGGCCAAGAGATCAATCCACGTTCCGGAAGAAACACACCAAAACACCCTGGAGAAGCAAAAAAAAACGCGAGCAAAAAGCAACCGCGAGAAAAAACCATGACAACGGAGGCGCGACATGGACCACCCGGCGGGCACGCGCCCAAAAACAACCTGGCAACTGCGGTTTGTGGCCTGGCATCGCTCCTCACCGCCGGAAGCCGCAAGGTCGGCAGGGACGCCGCGCGGTCCATGGCGACCGAGCGCGACCGGGCGCGACCGCGACCTCCGAGGGACGGGGGGGAACTCTGCTTCTGAACTTGAACGGACTCTGTTCCTTTCGCCCCACGATCCAAGACTTGACATGTTCCTTCACTGCCACACGGTTTGGCCTTGACACGCTGAGCCGCAGGCAGCGACGGAGCAAGCATGCCAGAACAACAGACAGGCACAAGCCCACTGTCGCAGCTGACCCCAGTGTTGCACTCCTCTGGATTACCATGATTACCTCTCGCGTCTGTGCGGGCCACCGAATTCCCCCAAAATGACACAAACACCTTCCAAATCGTACGGTGTGAAAGAGTGTAAACCTCTAGAGATGTGTGACCAAAACCATTATCCTTTCGAGCGTTTTCACCGTGCATATTCAGATTTGACTCCTGCACTTGCTGTTCATTTGCTTTCAGTTGCAATCTATAAATCACTTAGGGTAGATCTCTTTACATGTGAAGACCTTGAGATTGCCTAGTCCTCGTTTACTGCAATCAATGTGTTTTGTGCACTGTTCATTGTAGTTAGATGACTTGTCGTGCAGATGTCAACTTTTGTTTGCACACACGTATGAACGTGAAGACTTGCTGTGCAGAGTGTACCGAACTCAGTTCCCTACAAGACGAGCATGGAGAGGTACTATGGATGTTGAACACCTTGAACTGTTGTCTTTGGAAACGTTGTTCTTTGGTAGATTGTGTTTACCCTCACTCGTTCACTGCAGTTCACAATGTTCCCGGTACACAGGGATTGGAATTGAATACATTCAGTCTTGACAGTTTCCACTTGCACTGAGTGTACGGACAAAGGTCAGAAAACATCAGAAGTGAACTTAGTGTTTCACAGATGCATTGCACGAGCATGTCAGTTTGTTTGTTTGTTCCGGAGTTGCACTGTTTGCAACGTGTTGCGTTGCATTTCAATTTGGTGATTTGCAGATTTGAGTTTGCTGAATTATAGTGAACTTCAGATGTGATAGATGCTACACACGCACTGTACGACACGCACCTCGCACCAGGATTGTGACGCCACTTTGCTTTGCCCAATACGCTAACAGGAACGTTTGGATTGACCACGGTCAATTTGTGAACCTCAGTTCATGTGTTTGGAGTTCTGCGCACTCCTATTCTGTTTGTTTGGCGTTCACCTTGGCGCTTTGCGTTTGGGCTGTGTGTACATCTGTGGTCTTGGATTCCACGTGAGCACCCTTGTAGGTTGCACTTTGGATATGTCGTTGACACGTCATTTGGGTTCCTGTCTGTGCTTGAGCACGCGTTTTGTGTTTGGCTGAATATCCCTGAGGGATGCCTGCAAATCCGTGACATCGATCCCTGTGCAGTGTTGATCCAAGTCGATGTGTCCCCGATGGTCTGTGCTCACCTCTTGCGGTTCTCACGACCCTCGCTGTTGTTTGGACTTTGTTGGAAGACCAACCACCGGAATCCAGCCAAGAAATGAATTCAGAATGTGTAGATTTGAAATCATGAGTTTTTGAGTGTTTTTCGTGAAAGAGAAGCAGCCAGTCCTTGTACAGTTGAATTCACGAACTCACAAATGAAGACAAGAAGAACACGCCACGAAATGTGGCTCAAGCCCGGAGTGAGAACAAAAGATCTAAACAGATCTAGGACGTGACGCGTCGTGTGGTAGCGCGCTTGTAGTTGCGGTTTGCTACCTTTACATGCGGTCCCTTTTGGCAGCGCCAAATCAGCATCTGTAGCATAAATGATGAATTGGATGCTGAGACCATGTCTCTGTCCTCTCAACCCTTGGGGGTCAGGGCGATCACGGAACCTGCGCGGACAGGGCTGCACCTCTCGAACCTGTTGGCCCGCCTCCCTGCTTTTGTTGTGCGCGTGCGCCGAAACAAGTGTGCAAGTTCCCAAGCTCTCACTACATCTGGATGAGGTTCACAAGACGCACCTGCAGGCCCTGGCAAGTTCCGCAAGGCCCATGAGCTGCGATGATTGAACATGAGCTGCGCATAGCTGCGCCATACACAGAACCTTGACGGATTCCTTCTTGGCAACAGTGACTCACATGGTGGAGGAGGAGGCGCTGCCCAACTAAATCTTGGTTGTCATGAAATCTTGTGCATCCATGGATTCTTACCCTGTCATGGTGCGCCTGCTGAGGCTTTGGTTCCTCCTGGTGGCCGGGCGTGTTCTCTGCATAGGATATAGCAACAGGTTAGCGAAAGTATCAATCAGATTCCTTGGGAAAAACCTCATGAAGCATTGAGAAAACCCAGCTCCCATCTGCTGTCCTGCTGGAGGCTCCTCCTTGCGAAAAATGAAGCCTGATCTCTGAGCGGCCGAAAGCATCTTCATTGAACATGCGCTCCTCTTTCTGAGCTGTTTTCACTGGCCGCATGCTTCACGAACTTCACGTGAACATGCTCACATCTCAGGTCAAGACCAAACGGGTTGTTGTGGAAGATTGGACGGGCAGATCTCCTGCAAAGCCAACATCTCACAAATCAAACAGCTCCTGAGCTAGACCACACTGAGATGGGTCCTTCCGAAACTCCAACTGAAGAAGAACAGCGTGCACAGAAAGGCAAGGCCAGATCTCTACCATCTACCAAGTCCCATCCTCGGCGGGCCAAAAGATGCCAGGCAGCCTGAGGCATCAACAACTCAAAAGATTAAAAAAAGAACACATACCAGCAGGCCTGAGGCATCAAAAACTAAAGGGTCGACAAGGCAAAAGAAAACATACCAGATCATCCCAGGGCATGAAGGGTGGACATGCACGGACCAGGATCCGACAGGTGGGCGGCATAGCAAGGCCCACCTGGGCCCATTCAAACCTCCAAGAACCTCATCCGAAAAACCTTAAGAGTGGGAGAGGTGCCGGTGCCAAAACACCAAGTGTCCCGCTGACATGCATTGAATCGCGTGTCATTCCGCCTCACCCTGTTCATTCCGCCGGGTGGCCGTCCAACGGCCATGGATTCCCATCACCTTTCCGGCGAACGGACGACATGCAACCAGAAGCAACGAAGCTACACCCCCACAGAACCAAACGGATCGTATTCTCCCTGCGCCACCGGTGCGGTCGGATGCTGGGTGCCGTTGCAGTCAAAGAGTTGTTGTATGCACGTGGCCTTTAGAATGATTCATAGTTGAGCGTCTGCGATGGCATTCAATAGGGCGTGAAATCCTACAGAGGTTCTTACTGCTGCCAGCCGTCAACTAAGTAGTTTTCGACGATTTCCCACATGTCGACCTTGAGGGCATGATTGTGAAGTCGCAGGTTGTCATGGAGGAAGCCCTCCGTGTGTTGGGTTGGGTAATTGCAGACGAGGTGAAGAAAAGGACTCCCCCGTCCAGGAGGTTTGTTGTGCTTGGGGTTGTAGTGGCTTTGACCCAATCACAGGAAGGGGTAGTAGTGGTTCGCAACAAGGAGGACCGTGTGACTGAGTTGGGGGCAACGATAAATGAGATGGAGTCCCTTGCCCTCGTGGCCAAGAATGCAAATGGAGACCTAATCAGCCGTGTTACTGAGGAGAGCCCCCCACACTAGGCTGGAAGCTGTGAACTATGAGCCACCATGCTTAGTGTTCACTGATGGTGCGTATGAAGGTGGAGTTGCCACGTGTGGAGCGGTTGTGTTGTCTCCCCGCCTCGAGAAGGCTATAGCACTCGGGCTTGAAGTCCAGGCAGAGATTGTGGCAGAGTAGCACGGATTTGGCCACGAGCATGTACCGATTGTGATCGTGAAGAGCCAGTTCACGCAGTTGTTGAAGGGGGCACGTGTCTTGTTCTTCATCGACAACGAAGGTGTCAAAGAAGCTTTTGTGGCAGGTGTGACCAAGTCGGCGGCATGTCGGAAGATGCTAGTAGAGGCCACGATGCAAGATGCAAGATGCAAGCAACGACAGTCTTAACTGGTACACACGTGTTCCTTCAGCGAGCAACATAGCAGATGCACCGTCAAGGCTAAGGTGGGATCTTCTAGGTGAAACAATCGACTACGTCAGGGTGACGGCAGAGTTCGACTACAATGAATGGGGCAGAGTCCGGGTAGTCTGAGGAATTACTAGTGATAAGTTCAGGTCCACAGAGTGTATGTACAGCGAAGAGTGTAGAGTGAACGAATCTTTTTCCAAACCATTTGGCCAAGCAGCATAGCTGCACCGTACACGTCCCCAATGTGGAAGAATAAGTGTCTGTGAGCGGATGAAACTTTCGTGGTGTCGAAATGCGTGTGTATATGTATATATAGACATATATATGTTTTATATGTCATTATTGTCATTACTGTTTTTCTTTACGATTATATAACGCCGTTTATTCTGACTTGGAGGCATGAGCATGGCTGCGCAATGAGAGAAATACTTCACCTTTGAGCTGCGCTTTGCAGGTGTGTCTTGAAGTTGGTGGCTCAGTTCCATGGTCACGCTTCACAATGCTTTGATTAGGTTCGGGAAGCATGATTCGTAGCTTCTTGGTGGTCTGTTGCCGACCCTGCGCAGTTGCAAATCGAAAGGTGCCCTAGGCACTGCCACGATGAGCTTTCAGTTGGCTCAAAGGTTTAGCCGTTGTATTGTTGATTTATGGCAGCGATGGATCCTGCTGTTGTGGATGCGACGGCTTCGCCTGCAGACCCCGGCGATCTTGGGATGTCAGCACTGATGGTCTTTGAAGATCCATTGGTCAGGCTTGATGCAAGGATGCCACAGACTCCTCAGTGGGCCCAATTACGGCAGATCCTGGATGAACAACCGGCTTGGGTCCGCAACAGCATCTGCCCTGCCCTTGACCAAGGATTCTCTCGAGCCTTCCAAAACTATGCGAGACAGATTCAATTTTTGAACGCATTCCGAACTGAGCTGCAGAGTGTGATGGAATCTGAGGATGCAAATCAGTTGTGCCAGCTGATGCGGGACATCTACCCATCCAAAGTCCACGCTTTGCAGAGGGAGGCTGATGGGATCGACGAGAGCATCAAAGCCCTGAGGACTGCAGCAGAAGCTGGCAACATCGAAGGGCTGCAACAACAGGTCCAACTCATAGTCAGCAAAACCAAGCGATTCCGGGACACACACGCAGAACTCCGCCCAAAGGTTTACAGGGTGAGGCAGAAATTGGAAACGATTTGTGCCAAGTGCCTTAATGAAGGCCTCGAGAGATCGGATGAAGTTGCAGGTGAAGTCGAGAATGGACCGGAAGGGTGGTGGTCCTATATTATGCCTATATTCTGCTTGGTTAGTGGTGGTGTGGGTGTGGGGTCGCTTGCATGGCACCCACATACAGCAGGTGCCGCCACAGCTGCCGGCCCCGCCACTGCAGCTGCCACTGCAGCTGCCGCCCCAGCTGCCACAGCTGCCGGCCCCGCCACTGCAGCTGCCACTGCAGCTGCCGCCCCAGCTGCCACTGCAGCGGCTGCCACTCCAGCTGCCGCCCCAGCTGCCACCGCAGCTGCCACCACCGCTGCCACCGCAACTGCCACCCCAGCTGCCACCGCAGCTGCCGCCCCAGCTGCCACCGCACTGCCAGCGGTTTTGGCAACTATTCGTGTGAAACTTGCGGCAATTGCGGCATTTGTGCCAGCGGCGGCAGTCTCACCTTGCATTGCGGGTGGGGCCGCTTTTCTAGTGGCATTGTATTTGATAGAGTTTGCACCTCGGATAGAGCAGCTGTTGGGACAGCTGTGGACTGCTGAGAGTGAAACGGAGGAGGCGGCCAGAGCTGTTGTCCAGGTCGTGCGCGCTGCTGCGGAGACGTTGTGCATTGTTAGCAACAAGAATGACATCATGGAAGAATACTTGGGCAAGGTGGTACAGGATGCAATGACGCTTGCCGCTAGCGCACAAGATGCGTTGGTGAAGAAGCTCCCGGAGCGGGAAGCGGAAATGACTACATTGAATCAGCAAGTGGAACAGCTTTGCTCCGACTGGAAGAGAGTTCCTCAAGCATTCCAGGATTTTTTTTTTGTCCGCACGGGCCTCGTCGGTGCTAGGTCCTGCCAGGCTTTGCTGGCCTATGGCCGCAAAGGGAGCCGGCTTGGCGCGGAGGCCCCGGCAAGCGCAAGGATCTCCCCGAGAGGGAGCTCTGCGGAGCCGGTGGGGCACTGGGGCGCGCGCCAGTCGTCCCCAAGCAGCGTGGGGCCCAAGGCGCGCTGGACGGCGACGCCAAGGAGGCCCCACCAGCGGCGGCGCCACCCGGCAGCGGCGGCGGTGCGGACCGCGGGAGGCGCGCGCCGGGCGCGAAGGCGGACGAGGCGGCGCACGAAGGTCAAGGACTCCGTGTTCCAGCGGCCGCCGACCTCGCAGGCGAGGACCAGGAGCTGCTGCGGACCGCCGGCAGCAAGCTCTGGATAACGGCGGCGCTTGCGCCGCTCGGCCAGGCGGAGCGCGACACCATCCGCCTCAGCGGCCCCAGGGACGGGGGCACCGCCGCGCGTCAAGGCGGAGACGAGGGTGGCATCGCAGCACCACGTTTCCCCATGTGGCGAGGCGCCATGCACGACCAGGTCGAGTCGGCGGCGGTCATCGGGGGAAATGTGCGGGGTGTTGGTGCGCGGCGCCAACGGCAGAGGCAAGCGGAGTCGGCGCCGGAGGGCGCGGTGCATGTAGTGAGGCGGCAGTGTGGTCCCAGGCTCCGAGGGGATGGCGGTGAGCCAGACGGCGGCCTGGGGGCCGGCTTGTGACCGGAGCATGGCGCGGGACGCCGGGTTGAGGGCTGGGAGCAGCTCGCTCTCTCTGAAGGACTGGCGAAGTACGAGAGAAGCTTGCCGCTGCCAACCGCCAGGCCCAAGCCCCGGACCAGACTGGTCAGTGGAGGCCGCATCAGGTTGGAGAGCGTGGAAAAGGGCATGCCACGTGGGGCAGGCGGTCCACCCATGGCGGTGGAGGTGCGTGGCCGCGGCGGCGGCAGCCCGCAAGCAAGGGGCAGCGGCCTCCTCGCCGACCGCGAGTTCACGGACGCATCGGGCAGCGGCATCGGGGTACCGTTGGCGCAGAACAGGGAGGGCGTCTGCCCAAGCGGCCCAATATGCGGCGGGGGCCGTGCGCTCGGCGGCGACGAGGCCGAGCCCGCCGAGCTGCGTTGGAAGGAAGGCGACGTGGCGGGCGACCTGCCAGGCGGGGGTGTTGGCGCCGGCTTCGCCAAGGAGACTTTGCAGGGTGCCCCAAGTGGCGGCATCGTGGGCCGCAGCGAAGGTCGCGGACGCAGCGGGGGGCAGGGTGCGCAGGAGATGGTGCGCGCGGGGAGCGGCGCAGAAGGAGAGTAGGAGCCAGGCGCTCTGAAGGTCCGGCAGTGCGGCGATCTCCTGCAGGAGGTGGGCATGAGACAGGTGAGTGTCCCGGGCCGTCTCTGCCACGAACTCGGGCGATCCGATGGGCGAGCCTAGGGCGATGAACCCCCGCCCTGGATTGTGCTTTGCCATATGTGAGTTTCCGCCAGCAGACCAGCATGTTTTCCGTCGTGGTTTTGGAGCTGGACCCGAAATATCTCTTGAGGACACGCACCCCGCTGTGACTTTATACGTAGATGATGCAGACCGAGCGCAACAAAGTCCTCCTGTCAGTGAGATTGAGGAGCATGCCCAGATGGAAGAACAAGAAAGTCCCATCGACACTGTGGTTGGCGAGAGTGCCCCAGTCAGAGACTTATTTGACGATCATATTGAGTCCTGCGCGCAAGCATGGGCGTTTTTTTGAGCAAGCACTTGCCCCGTGCTCAAACGCAGTAATCACATGTTCATATCATATTGCTTCATTTATTCTGGGAGTGAGCAGATCCACTATGATGCTTACTGGCCACAAAACTTGGAAGAATTGATGTCTGGAAGAGATCCGGCAGACTACGTGGTCAAAACACGGGCAGGGTCACTGAAAGCATGCGTGCACGTGCACTTGACATGGCCGAGTGGTGAACCATTCCATACACTGGCATTTTACGATCGTATAACAGCGGATCGCACCGTCATACAGAGGTTGAGTAACCCCACCGATGCA